GCTGGGGAATTCTGGGAGTTGAAGTCCACACGTCTTCATGCTGCCAAGCTTGAGAAACCCTGCTTGGAGAAACATCACTCAGCACTGATAAAGTGGCGCTTTCTTGTAGCACGACCCCTTCAGCCCATCTAGGCTACCCCATCTGAACCCCACCCCCAGCCCAGGCCTTAGGAATAACCGTGCACTGAAGATCACAGCCTGAGAGATCCTGGGAGGCGAACAGCTTCAATACTACTTTCTGTACTTGTCATAAAATGCAAATGGTTGCTGTGAATGGTGACAGGGGGGTGGAAATAAGCAGAGCAACGAGTTTCAATTGCCAGAATTGGCTTGATTTACTTTTGTAGTTGCACGGCTCATTGAAAAGGAAAAGGCTCCTGCTCCGGGGGTGGCTTTCCTGGGCTGGTTTGCACCGGGAATCCTCCGCGCGGACCCCTGCCCGCTTTACAAATAGGACAGAGAAGAGAGGTTATCTAACCCTCCTGCGAGGGAGGCTGGAAGGATGAACCCTCAGCTGCCTGCGAGGAAAGGGCTCTCCAGCTGCTCCCATCCCTTCCGGCACAACTGGATAAATGCCACAAATGTTTCTGAGCAACCCAGGTTGCTTTAAAAGTGGGAGACCCCCTGATCATCTGAGGTTTAGCAGAAAAAAAAGAGAGAGTACAAAGACAGGAGGTGCCCAGCTCCCTAAGTAAGCCAAATGCTCCTCAGAAACTGGTCGCGCTAGATCTGCTCCAGCCAGCCGGACTTCCTCAGCAGAAGAGCATCTCCGTAGCTCAGGGTTGAACTGTGGAGTCCGTGGGGCTCTCTGAGCTTGGCTGTTTTCTTGCAGACGTTTCGTTACCCAGCTGGGTAACATCTTCAGTGCTAGAAGGGAGTGGGGTCAGCAAACTCCACTCCCTTCTAGTACTGAAGATGTTGCCTAGCCGGGTAACGAAACGTCTGCAAGAAAACAGCCAAGCTCAGAGAGCCCCACGGACTCCACAGACCAGGCTCATGATCCACGTCTGAGCTGCTGTGGGGCATCAGCGGGAGGAGGGAGCTGGAAAGACCCAAGACGTCTGTTTCTGCCGGGACGAGTCTGATGGACGGCTGACCTTCTCTGGCCAATAGGCACCTCTGCCTCAGGCAAGGGGGGGGACCCCGAGTTTACCTGGGTAGATGGGGGTGAGCAAGAAGGGCAGGCCTTCCTGCCAGTCCAGAGAATCTGGGCCTTTAAAAAGAAACCGTGGCTGGAGCCTGTCCCTGTTGCAACTCTCACGAATTCAGCCGGCTGGCCGGCCAGCTCCCCCACCGCAAGATGGACTTTAGTACCATCTAAACTCTGCAGCATCAGAAAAGCAGTTCCCTTTCTAGTATAAGCAAAAAGAAAAACAGCAAATACATGCAAGAGGCAGAGGGGAGGGAGGAACAAAGCACATGGAACAAAAATCAAGCATGGCATATTAGAAATAAGCTGGTCTCTTCCCAAAGAATTGTCTCAGGGAGAGGCAACCAACAGCACTCTTCCCACACAGGGCGCACAGCACTCCAGACCTGCCTTCCTGCTGTCTCACGCTGGGAGCACAAGATGCTCAGAGGGCTCTCTCAAATCATCTGCAACTGCGAAGCACAAAACTGACACAGAACCTCAGTTTAAAATGCGCAGCGAGCAAAGGCTCAGCAGCTAATGAGACTGGCGGGGGCTAGAAAGCCACTCCTCTGCTGCCAGCGGGCAGGACGTGAAATCCAAGTGACTGCCTCTTGGCGAATAAAATTCCGCACAAGGAGCGCAGCTCAACAGCGGAACCAACAACGTGGAGAGGAAACAGGCTCCCCTTTGCTGGATTAGTCTGAGCAGAGGCTGGACAGCCGTCTGTCTGGGGCGGAAAGACCCCCGTTGGAGGCCACGGTCTCAAGGGGTTCTGCAGGAGAACCCTCAGTTCTGAGGTGCCGCGGTATACGGCATCCGCTAAGTCTAAGCACGTTGACTGGGGGTTGTGTGCTTCTTCTTTTGAACCGCCACCGCAAACTGGAATTCGACTATGGGACGGAGCAGCCTGCAAGGTGGAAAAGCCTTGCGGGGGTTGCCAAAGCGCTTCCCGACGGACGGTCTCTTGCAGACCTGCTCCCTTTGCCTTCTGACCGGGAATGCGTTCCACAAAACCCGGCAGGCATGCTCGGCGAAGCTGCCCCAACCGTACATTTTGCCTTTCTTCTCCGCTCAGGGTGGCAAGACTTAAAAAGCAGCCCGACCCCGTTTCGGCCGGGCCTCCCCCCTTCACAGAGCTCCCAAGGAAAGCCAACTCGCTCTGCCCATCAGGAAACTCCACCCGGCCTTGATCCACATGCTCAGGGGAAGCAAAGGAGGTGGTCTGCGAAGCACGCCCCTTCTGTCCTCCTAAAAGCTATGTAAACACGTGCAGTTCGGCTTCAGGAAGGAAGGGGGGGATTTGCTCAGCTGGATCAGCACCAAGGTCCACATGGCCCAGCACAGCCTCCAACCACCACAGCAGAGTCACCGTGGGATGGGGCTCTCTGGGAGAACGAAATGTCATTTCTCCTGCAGCTTCCCGCCCCAGCTCCACATCTCACCGCAGCCGAGTGGGGAGAAGAGGCCTGGCCTAACTCCCATAATCTATACATTTAGGAGTGGACACTCCATGAAACCAAACCCAATATTAAGGAGGGATTTTTCCGCAAGGGATACCGGGGGGAATTCTGACACAAGCCGACTTCATCAATCTGCAGCACAAGATCCGGCGTGTGGATCTCGCACTGCAGCTCCCAGCAGAAAAACAGCCTGCCTAGCTGTGTTTAAAATGTCTCTTTCAAGAGAAAAAAAAAATATTGAGAAACCTGCTATGAAGCTACTGGTCAGGCTAGCTGTTCAGTATAGGCTTTTACTATTTGTTTCCTTCATCAACAAAACCAGGAATTTTTAAAATACGGGGTACAGAATTAACGTGGCTTTGTAGATTTTTACGGAAATTGCACCATTTCCAAAGGAGGGCAAGAGGCTGAAAGTCTCCCTCCCTGAAATTTTGGGAGTTGTTGTTCAACTGATCTTGCTGTGGCTCGCTAGATGCCCGGGACTTCTCTGCAGAAGAGCTGCAGGTGACCAAAACTCTCCGGAACAGTGTCTCTCAACCTTGGCAACTTAAGACCTGTGGACTTCAACTCCTAGAATTCCCCAACCAGCCTTGCTGACTGGGAAATTCTGGGATTGAAGTCCACAGGTCTTAAAGTTGCCAAGGTTGAGAGACACTGCTATGGAGTGACTAAGCCCCTTCTGCCATTGCTGCTGTGGCCGCATCTGCAGCCTCCAGGAGGTCCCTGAGAACTGCCCCCCAGAGCTGCAATTACCCGATCCGCAAACGGCAGGATCCTCGGGAGGAAGGAAAGCCTGGGGCTGCCTGTGAACTCTGCCTCACTCCTGAGGGGCCTCCTCCGTGTCCCCTTAGCTTCCCAGAGATGCAGGTAGCAGCTGAGATGCAAGCCGGAAAGGCCTCTGGCCAGGCTGGTGCTTGACCAGTGGAACAAGGAGGAACCGGGCGAGATTCAGGGGACGGAAAATGGAAGCAAAACCAGGAGCAGTGAAGAGTGTCGGCGGAGAGCAGGCGGCTTTATCTAAGCAAGCTCTCGGCACCTGGGCCGGCCAGCCAGCCAGCCACGTGGGATGCTGCGTGGAGGACTTGCTCATCGTTCCTGACGCGCCAACCCTTCTCTTTTCACAAGCACCCAGTCGCGGGCAGCAGAAGTATCTTGAACCGCCTAGGCTGACCACCAGGGTTGCGGCCAGGGACTTACCCGGTACAAAACAGCAGATGAATTTGTGAAATAGATTTTAAAATTCTCCAATATCTCAGTGAAAAGGGAGCATTCTCCTTGCGTCAGAGTTGTTTGGGCACCACTCTGAAAAGCATGTTGAGGCAGTGGGGGGGGTGGCAGATGGGTCTGCAACAGCCCCAGTGAAAGTGCCACCTAAAGGCGAGGCGAGGTTCAGCAGACGCGCAGACAGGGACAACCTCCCTGGCCCTTATTCTCCTCCATCCCCACTCGGGATCCCTTAAAGCTGCAGGAGGGAGAGAGCCCGGAGCCCTCCTCAGTCCCCCTCATGCCCTCGCGGTCTGCTGGCCCCCGCAGCTCCACAGCAGCTCTCTGCTCCTGGTCGGCTGAGAGAGTAGGTGGCCTCAAAACAAGGCCCCACATCTTCCAGGCCCTCCGCCCCAAGAATCTTACCTGCCCCCCAACTGCCCTATGTCGTGGCCAAGAGGAGTGGCGCAGAAGGGTTACGTGAGCTACACTCCAAAATATCTGGAAGGCACCAGGTACCTCTTCCCTGCCAGGGCAGATGGGCTCCCCCTCAAAGCTCCATGTCCTGCCACGAGGCTGAGAATGGATCCTTCCCGGCAGACCACAACTAAGCAAGAGGAGCCACGGAGCCTCATACGGGTTACTCTCCCAAGGCCCGTGGGGCTCCTGCAACAGACAGGGCCAGCGCTCCTTCACCCTGGCCGCCAACGGTCCTCCTCTTCTGCTCCGCCCTGCAGGGGGCTCTGAGGCCATGTCCCAGCTCCAGGACGGGAGGGATCCACGTGCCCCGAGTCAGCCACATGTGCCTCTCCCTTGCTCCTCTAACAGTCCATATTCGTCATTTCTTCTGGACTCTACACAGAGTTTGGTTTAAAATTCACCCTGCAGAGCCCTGCGGTCCCAAGATCCTTATCTACAGAGATACGCTGCTCTCCCCCCGCCCCTCCTGTGCTTTTCCTATAAGGCATTCCGCTGACATCATCCAAAATTTCTTGGCTTGTACATCTCTCCTAAGGAGAATGGAAAGGGATATTTTCAAAAATATATATTATCCGCATGTCTGTCCCTGGCCAATGGGGCGGCATGAAACCCCTTACCAAACTTACAACAACCAATGCAATTTTCTAAGGTATCCCAACTAACGAGAGAAATGATGAACTGAGACAAGTCACACTATTCTACAACAGATTCATTCACGGCATAAGAGGAGTGGTCTGGATGAGGCAGAAGCAGCTGCTGGGGACACAGAGCAGCGGAAGGAGACAGAGGTAAAGGAAACAAAGTGCCACTGGGGGTGGAGGAAGAGGTCAGGGGAAAAAGGGGGCTGGGGAGAAAGGGGGCCCTTCTCTGCAGGCCTTCTGGAAGCTGCATCCTGCCTGCATCAGCCAGAGAGAAGCCTCCTTTCTCAATGCTGCTGCCCAGGCTTGTTCAACCCTTCTGGCAGAAGCAAACTGGATGCTAAGCTCCAGTGGCCACAGGGTGCCAGCGGTGTCATCTTAAGGAGACAAACAAAACCCCTTGTGGCTTGCTGCTGGAAAGCTGTGCTTGTGTGGAGTTGGAAGCATCAGCCAGCCTTGGCCTTTTCTGTTTATTGCCCTTTCTTGGGGTGAATTCTCCTGGCCTTCTCTCAACAGTTCTCAGCATTTCACCCAGACACGCAGTGCCAACAGCCCTTCCTGAAGCCTCTTCCTGTCGTAACAGACAGCTAGTCCCAAACCAGCCCCCAGGTTCTCTCCTGGCAGGCCCAAGCCATGGGGCACCACCTGGCTTACCTTCAGATGCCTTCCAGGCCTTCCAAAGATCCTCAACACTAATGAGCTTATCCTCCCCATGGAAAGTACTATGTTTGATTGTTGGGTCATGGTAATTCAAGTCTTCCCTCAGGAACTGGGAAAGAAAGACAAAGACAGAGTCAACTGGTTACATCAGTCCTACACAAAGGACATGCTATTGCAAGACTTCATGCCAACTGGATGCTGGAGCTGGGCCAGGGGAGGGCTGTAGGCAAGGTCCTTCCTGGTTCTCATGCAAATGGCTGGCTGCCGCCTAAGGGTTACCACTGTCGGCCTCCCCCTCTGCCGTACGTTTTCCCAGCCTGCTTCCTGCATCAGACCATCTGCCCCATGACAGCAAACTCTGCAAAGGGAGGTTCTGCAAACAGAAGAACGCAGCACTCGCCTGTGTTGTTCTCCTACATGCTTTCACTGATTTTGTCCTTGCAAACAGCGGTCACAGCTCAGTTCCCTTGCAAGAAGGTGCTGCTGGGACTGGTGCAAAGCAAGCAAGCAGGATGGATGGGGCTGACCTTTCTGTGAGTCTTCACGCTACTTGAGGATGCAGAGAACAGACTGAGGGCCCTCAGAGGAAATGCAGCATTGCTCACAGAAATGAGGCTGCCCCCATCTCTCTTCCTGCCCTTCAGGAAGAGAGAGAGAGATCTTTCCCCAGCTCAGTTATCACATGCAGAAATGCTGATCCCAACTGTTCCTGTGGAACTTCAAAACACGGAAGAGGACACTCCCACTGGGATGCTCTCTGAAGAACACCAAAGATAAGAACGTCAAGAACATACTCATTACTAATTCCTCTTGAGAAGATGAGCGTGGTTTTAAAATTGGAGGAAGAAACCTCAATAACCTGTGCTACGCTG